GCGCGGGCCGCGGGCAGCGAGCGCGCCCCAGGCTCCGCCCAGGCCACTTGGAGCTGCCTTTGCACCTCTCCCCGTTCCTCCCGCCAGGATAAAAATGCAGTTTTTGTAAATTAACCCCAAATAAACCTGCCCCTCTCCACTCCCCCTCCCCAATCCCATTAAGGCGGGCCTCAGCGGAGGGCTCGGTGATCTTTGCCTGGGTGGGAACGCGCCCAGCCTCACCTCCTCTCTGCTTCCCGCAGGCCTGGTTGATGTTCCTACCCCGAGGAGGTGAGATCGTGGGGGTGGAGGGGTAAGCTGTGCTCCTCTTCCCCTTCCTCTCACGATCAAAAGGAGTGGAAAGAAAAGGCAGGCTAACCCAGCCTGTGTGGCTCAGTAGGTTGAGCATAGTCCCAAGCACCAAGAGGTTGCCAGTTCAAGTCTGGATCTGGGAACGTGCGATGCTTCTATCTCTCCCTCTCTCTCTCGGTCTCCTTCCTAGAAGAAGCTAAGAAAGATGCAGGTGCAGATTGGGATGAGTGTTTGGAGACAGTAGACACTGGGAGGTGGGTGAGCTGGCACTTATCAGAGGAGGTGACGGTGGGACAGAGGCAGAGTGGCACCCGCTCTCCCCCGCCCAGAGACTCCTTCCAAGAGGGGCACTTGGCCTTTAAAAAGCTTTGCTTCTCCCCAAACAGCACTATCTGGTAGAAAATATTTGTAGAAAATGTTTGCCCAGAATTGTTTCCACTTGATCTAACTGCTTGGAGGAAGCAGAATGTGTGTGTGTGTGATTTTTAAAGAGATCTACCTAACACTGAGGGGCATCAAAGGAAGGAGAACAGGCCAGGGGAGCACACCAGCTTTATTGTTTCTACCTGGTTTGGTAGAGGGTTGCTGGGAGGGCTGAATGGGCGACCCTTCTCACTTTAAATGTCCCAGACTATAGAACCTGGACAAATTCTTGGTCTTGGAGTAAACCTCCCTGTGTCAAAGATGGAGATTCTGAAAGGATGAGTATGGAGGGAGAAAGACCCATGCCGAGGCCAATGGCCTCGCTCTGTTATTCCCTCTCAGCCGTTAGCAGGGATCGGTGGCTGTATATTGTGAGCCTGTTGGGGGACAAGTCTAATCTCAGGGTGGCTTTGACTGCATCTGTACTAACCCAGGGCCAGTGAGAAACAGAGAGTTGAGCTAGAAGGAATAGCTGAAGCCCCCAACCGTCACTGAGCCCCCAACCGTCAGGGGAAATAACTAAGAACTAAAGTGGTCCCAACTCTGAGAGGAGCTCAGAAGTAAAGAAAAGATTCCAGCAATAAGGGTGGGGCTCAGGGAAGCAGAACTTCCCTGAGCTGCGGGGCAGATGTTCCAGGTGGGGGCAAGCGGGTGGGGTACTCAGATGCTGGAGGAAGGCAGAGGCTGCTCCTCCCTGAGGTCTTCAGGCCTGGGAAGAAAATGAGGTAAAAATAGCTCTGTGCCTTGGCAGACCTAATAGGGAAGACGGGGGCGGCAACGTTTATGGTAAAATCAGGCTGTTGGGGTAGGATGCTTGCGTCTGGGGAAAGGCCTCTCAGGATGGTGTGAGTTCTCCAGCGTGGGAACAGGGGAGGAGATTCTGCATTACCCGCTGCAGATGTGGGAGGTGATGATATAGCAAGGGGGGCAGGGTGGAGGGAAGCCTGGAAGGGTGGGAAGGCCCCAGCTGTGGGATCAGGTCATCTGGCCTCCCACTCGTTCTTCCTGGGGAATAATGGAGGGAATCCCTTTGTGTGGCCCCACCCCAGATTCAGGAAACTGTTAGACGTAATGACATCACAGGTTAGGCTTGTATTTGACCACACACACACACACACACACACACACACACACACACATGAAATTCAGCCCCTTCCTGGCATATCCCTGTCTCCCAAACAAAAAGTAGCAGTTTGGCACCCCATCCGATCAGGTGACACCTAGCTAGGCTACAGTTAATGAACGAGAGAAGTGAATTCTACTCGTGGTTTGGGGTCACTGGATTGAGAACTGCTGGGGAGATCAGGCAGATTGTAGGCACCATGCAAACAGGAGGAGCTGTGATCATTGAAGAGTCAGTTCTCCCAGACAAGAATTTGGATGTTATTAGAGTTCTTTTAGAATCCAGAAAGGGAGACTAAAATGGAAATAAATGTTTTCTGGAGCCATTTTGATGAGGCAGTTAGTGACCTACACATGGACCTATCAGACCTGCTCCAAGTGCTTGAAATTAGGACAAGGAAACATTTAAAGGATCAAGCCAATCATGGGCATTAAAGGGGAGGACACCAGGGCTGGAATGAGGGCTTGGTGACTTCTCCCCAAATCCTAACCCAACCTATGGCTCCTTCCTGGATAGAAGGCAAATGAAAGCTACCTTGTTCCAGAAGCCTAAAACTTTGTCAAAAAAATATTCCCAGCCTGGGGTTCTGGTCTTTCCCATCTCCCTTAGCCTAGTGGCCATGGAGAGATTGCTTATCATACTTTCCCCCCAAAAGCTGAATTGGATTGTTTTTCCTGGTCACTGGGTCGAAAACAAGGAGAGCATTTTTAGGGGAATTTCTAAGACTAAAGGAAATCATGCTCTTTGTTCTATTTTTTGTTGTTGTTGTTGTTAGTAAATAAAGTCGGTTGAAAGGTCAGAGTCAAAAAGGGAGATGGCACAGGTGGGCAGCTGGTAGGGAGAGGAGAAAGATTATTGTTGTTAGGCAAGCAACCTCAGAGATGAGTCGTGGTTTGTTCCATTTTTAAAAATCAGACCATAGTGAGTGTTGCATCATTTTGTCATGATAGACCTTTTGAACTGGAAGATGTTTCAGAAATAATCAACTTCAGTTTCTTCATTTTGTAGCTGAGGAAACTGAGGCCCAGAAAGGGGCAGTCACCTGCCTATTGTCACTCAAGTGATTGGGGGTCAAAGCTGAGGCCAGAACCCCGGTGTACCCCACCCCTTCTGCTACACTTTCTGCTCCCGGCCTCCTACTCCCATTCCTGGGCTCTGCAGCAGAAGCCGGAGTGGCGGCTCGGCCCTAACGGAGGGTTAGTTCTGGCTCCTTCATTCTCTGAGGGAGATAGTTTCACAGTCCTGACACTGGGACTGCTTTGTGCGTGCGTGCGTGCGTGTGTGTGTGTGTGTGTGTGTGTGTGTGTATGTATGTGCAGTGGTGGCTAACAGTGGCTAAGGTTGGTGGCCTTTAGCTGCTCAGCCTCATAGTGCTGAAGAAGAGGCCATGTGTGACCACCTGGCCCAATGACGGTGGGAATGGGGGAGTGGGGAGAGGACAGTAGGTGTAAGGACTGGAGCTCCCTGGCCAGTGTGGGTGTCCCCTGGCATGGCCACTGCATCTGGCCCAAAGAGGACCATGTTATCCCCTGTCTGCTGAGCCTTCCTGCCACTCCAGCCTTCTCCCTGCACCCCACAGGGCAGGTTGGCTCCTGCTGCTTTGTGTTTTTGTGGCTGCAAGCCTTTACTCAGCACTGCTGTCACCGGCGTCTGGTAGTGGCCCCAATTGTCCCTCTCCCCTGACTTCTCCTGATTGTCCAAAGCATGAG